GTGAATACATATACCCTACTCCAGATAGGTTCTGCTCTGTGCATATAGATGCTCCTTTAGAAAAAAAAAAACTAAAAAATAATAGAATATTTTCAACTATATAGTGACACTGATAATGTCTTGAAGTTGCCCTCCCTGACTTCTAGTAAACCACTGCTTATAAAGTATTAAACATCTGAATTGAAGAAAGCTACATAGGTAAATATTACTAATCATTAAAAAAATCTAGTTACTCTTTCATTGCATATTTTTTGAACATTCACAACATGTTTATTTAAAGATTTTATTTATGTGTGTATTTATATATGTATGTGTGTATGTATATATGTATGTATTAATAGAGGGGAAGGGAGGAAGAAGGAGAGGGAGAAAAACATTGATGTGTGGTTGCCTCTCATGCACCCCCACTGGGGACCCAGCCCACAACCCAAGCATATGCCCCGACTGGGAATCAAACCAGTGACCCTTTGGTTCTCAGGCTGGCACTCAATCCACTGTGCCCAGCCAGGGCTCATTCATTGCATATTAATGGATATTTTGTATTGAGTATGGGAGGCATGGAGGAAAGAGATTACTTACATTAGGGAGAACCTGGACACTGGAGTTGGGGAAAAGCTTGGGCAAATATAAAGAGGAGAAATGCAAGAAGAGTTTGAGGAATAATTATTAGGGTATTAGGAAGGATAGATTAGGAATTGCTTGTGATTATTGCATAAAGGGTAATAAAAACTGAAAAAAGTAAATGTATATAGGGCTTTGAATGTTTGATAAATCTGTAATTTATCATCTATGTGGAAGGAAGGTGTGTCTTAAAAAGATGGTATATAAAATAGATCCAATAAGGAAACAAAATTAGGAGATTATGGTAATAGACCTTATAAAACATTATCAGACCCTGAGGCAGAGTGGTGACAAAAGGAAAGGTGCAGATACGTTTCACAAATGAAATAAAAAATACTTGGTGGCCTGTTGGATTTGGGGATAAAGAGAAGGAAGAGGTTGAAAGTGGCTTCAAATGTTTGCATCCAGTATCAGGAAGACTAAGAATAACACAGACTGAGTAGAAACACAGTAGAAGATGGAGGCTTCGAGGGTAGACAGTGAGCTTTCGTTTTGGAATGTTACATTTGAATTATTTATAGAACACATCTTCAGTTTTTCCACGATGCCTAATGCATATTTCTGTAACTGTACTTTACACATCATGTGATCATTTAAATCTATAACATTCAGCTTCTGCTGAGTCCTCATGATGTTTGATCAGCAATTTTTTTATTCTTTCTTAACTCAGTTACCTTTTCTGCTGTCCTTATCCTTGGCCCCTTCCCTATCAGCTAAAATTGTCTTGTATTTTACAGAGGAAAAAATAAGACCGTGAGACTCAAATTTCTTTAAATTCTACCCTTCACCTCCAATATTATCAGACCTTTAGCCATCTTTCTTTTTTCTTGTCTCAGAAAAAGAAATGTTTTTTTTCAATGCTAACCCTTTTATGTATTCTCTTTATATCTTGCTCATTGATTCTCCCAAAGGAGTCTCCAGTCTATTTCTTTCCATTGACTAGAATGTTCCTCTAACAACGCTCCAATGAACAAAATCCCAAGACATTTTTAAACCCCTAGTCTTCCAATCCTCCAGAGTTAGGAAGGGGTAGCTGACAGAAAACTGCTCTCTACCTTTCCTCAGTCTCAGAACACCATCCCTTGTCTCTTGTACGTCCACTTTCTCACCACCATTCTACTGGACTGTGAATTCCTTGGCCTTTCTGTCTTTTTCATTACTGTATGTAGTACAGTGCCTGAAACACAGCAGGTGATAAATATTTACTGAATTGACTTCTCAACAGTTTCAATTCCCATGAAAGTCCTATTCTAAAGGTTACTTGTGACCTATTTGCCAACCAAGCACAATGACTTTTTTACTGTTTTCAATTACACCTGTCTTCTGAAATATTTGACACTTTGGTTTTGTTTTAAATATCTGTTAGTTTATTTTTCATTTTAGAAACCTTTCTTTATTTTTATGATTGTATTAACTTATTTCACTGTGTACTGTATCCTTATATGTGTCTCAGAAAAGCTGAAAGACTTGAGCCTGACAGAACTCGAGGATGAGCCCAGTGTAGACCTTTCCTTGCCAAGCCGCACACACTCCCTGCCTCGTAAAACTCTAACTTGCTTAACTTTTGTGAGATATTTTCTCCTGATTTTCCTTTAGCCACATTCACCCTTTCTCATTTGGTAATGCTTTCTAATTTCAACTCTGAGGTTTTTTTTCATTTTAACATTTTTATGTGATTTAAAATATCAAAATATCTAACTGAATCCTAGATCAAGTACTGTGCCCAACACAAAAGGGATATTTATTCAATTGAAGTTGTAGCACTAGTCCTCATTTCTGATGAGTTCTAGACCTATATCTCTAAATACCTGCTGATCACATCTGCCTCAGTGTCTGCTAGTGCCTTCAAATTCAACATGCCAGACATTTCTTCAGTCTTGTCTCTATTCCGGAATTCCCTGTTTATAAATCAGTAGCACCATCATCTACCCCTCACTAAATTGGGAACCTAGGAATCACCATAATTTTTTCCTTTCCTCATCTGCCTCACCCAGTTTGTCACCAAGCCCTGCCTAGTATATTTGCCAAAAGTCTCTCAAATTCTCCTCCTCCTACTTATCTTAATTGACATTGTATAAAACCCTCTTTATCATCTCTTATCTAGACTTTTTACAATAATCTCCTAACTTGTATTCATATTCCGTGATACCTCTAGAGTTATCTGTTTTACTGAAACATAAAATTCAACTTGTCTCTCTAAAATCTGATCTCTTTATTTCCTACAGCTTAAATTCATTCACAGTCTACCCTAAACCTCAACACTTATTACAGCCCCTAAAAGTCCCACACTGCAGCAGCTGTATAAAATCACATAATCATTTCCTTAATAAACTATTTCCTTCCCTTTCTTTTCTTCCTTCTTTTCTTCCTTCCCTTCCTATAGTACTGTTCTTTGTCTTTCTGGTGGTTACCCACTCACTATCTGTAAGTCTCAGCTGCCCAGTTCAAATACGTCTTCTATACCCACGTAATACTTCTCCCTACATTGTCATATTTTATGTCTCTCATACTAGGGGGGATTTTTTAGTTTTGTTTTCATTCTTAGAAATTAAAACACTTATTTATGTTATTATTATTATTAACCTTCAAGAACGCAGGTTCATTAGGGTACAAGGGTAGGAGTGCTTCTTTTAATGAGGGCATCAAGGAATATTAAGTAGAAACAGTGAGTATGAGCCAAGATTAAAAAGCTTTAACAGGGCAAAAATGGAAGTAAGTTGAACTAGATGAGATAAATTTTTTAAAGTATTTTTAAAAGTTTATTATATTTAACTATATTTGAAGGACCTGTGGAGAGGGAGAAATTAAAAACATAAAAGGAGTAAGGACTTAGGACAAACAAGATGATTGGGAGGGGCTAGCTTTGGAAACAAACAGGTACTTTTTTCTACCTGAGATGAATGGGTAACGATTTAACTCTATAAATAACAAAGTATGGAGGTAATGAAAGCAGAGCAAGAATTTGATGCCTTTAATGTATGACAAAAGGGCAAGATATGAACTCAGGATGGTATAGTCATCATGAGAGTGCACTCACAAAAGTCAATTGTTAAATGTTCGGGAATTTTTCGAACTGACTGTTAAATCATTGGTACTTTGTAATCTGCTATGAGGAAATATTTACACCACAGAAATTGTGTACAAAGTGGGCCTTTTCCTCTCATGAGTTTGCAGGATTTACTGGCACACTGTGGGATGCCTCAGGGCTTCCCTAAGGGTTGAGCCAAAATGCTGCCACATATTCGTGAATAGTAGGTTGAAGCTGGATAACATGATTATGTGTTGGACCTTCTCAAGCTTGTTTTGTGTTTCTCTACAGGAAATCCCTACTATAAAACAGAAAAGGTAGCTAGAGAGTGATCAACAAGGTGGAAATTAACAGAGTAGGCTCTAGGATAATGAATTTAAGATATTGGAGAAAGAAATAGAATGCTGTCAGTGGCATGGGAAAGGAGCAGAGGTAATTTAGTAGGAAACAGGGAAAAATGGACTGAGTAAACATGGAGGAATTGTGATGGATAAGATTTTGCTTGAAATAGAGTGATTTTTTGTGCATCATGAGGAATAAGAAGAATATCAGGCAATGGAATTGTTTAGATCTTTGTGTAAAGAGTTCAGGATGTGGTCATACTCATAAAAGGAAGAGAAGGAAGTGTATTGTAAAGTAAGGAAGGCAGTGAAGTATAGAATTCCAAAGGTCTAAAGGGTGGTGGTTGGTTAGAGTAAATTTTAAAGTTGCTTAGGAATGATGGTAGACAATAGAGAGAGGCGGAGGAACTGGAGCCAGTTATAAGGAGATAAATATTGGATCCAATGGATAAATTGATCATTTGGAAAGGGCAGATGCACAAGTTTAAAATAATACAAAGCCCAGGATGGATGTTAGATCATGAACTCCAAGGGGCCCATGAGAGCAAAGTTGTCTTCATTCACCGAGTTGAGTAAATATTTACTGACCAGTACTCACAGTGGAAGTCATCTTCATCACTGGGGACTCAGGGCACTCTGGGAATGGCCATCTGCAGTGCCAAGCTACCCACAGGCACACCAATCCAGGGCCTCAGGCACATGTGCTCTGTGCTGAAGCCAAATCAAGATCACCAATCAATGAGGATAGAATTTTCAAATTACAGTATTAAAGATTTCCCTAATCAAAGACTTATTTACCCATGGAAAACCATAGCTTTGTTATACTTCCTTCTGTTTACTTTATGGTTGCATATCGTTTTCATGTTTAATTACATGGAAGGTGTTGGGGGGGAGGAGAGTTACAGGTACAGGCACTGTAATCTTCTCACTGCTCTAAATGTCCTGTTCTGGCCCTGGCCCTCTGGACTGCAAGAAGATAGAAATTTATTGGCTTTATTGGCTTTTTTTAGAATATGGCAAAAGTATCTCTTCTGGATGTTCAGAATCTTCAGGTGAGCGAGTCAGCTTGTGTGAAGAAAGAAAATATTTGGATTTAAGTTAAATACTGACACTCAAGGGGCTTACTTTTATACCTGTTTTCCAGTTTTTATTTTTAAAACTATCATAACAATGTTGTATTAATGTGTTCTAGTCTCTAGAAAAGAACTTGGTTAAGAGCTTGATTTGAAAGGAAAGAGGGAATTTGTTGCCCAGAATTAGCAGTCTTTGGACAATTATATTAACAAAATCATATGAATTTATTATATCATTTTCTAGTAGTTAATTAGAAAGGAAAGGGGAAAAGATGAGGTCTATATATCAAGTATTGAATGAATGTAGTCCTCTGATACCTGTCTTTAAAAAAAAATAAAGTGTCTCAGAATGCACATAAATTAGAAGTTGCATCTCTTAAGGCTACTAATTTGAAAAACTCTGGTTTCTGGTTTTGAGCTGCACGAATATCTATCTTTGTTATTACAGGGTAAGTGCCATTAGTATCGAGCAGTGAGTACAACTGACCTGAAACCAATATAACTTAAAGCTAGCTGTAATTCTGTCTAAGTTCCTCTTGACTAAAGTCTTCTCTTTTTGTAAATTCAATATAATATTGCATTTTTTCAGTTTTCTAGCACATAGATAAAAATGCCTTTATTCTTTACTATCCTTTGTGATACATTTTAAAAATTGATAAAAGTTAGAAAGATTCATTTTAGTCATTTTCTGTACTGCCACACAAATTAAAAAATTTTTTTTGTCCTGTTAATGTTCCAGATACCATACTCCTCAGCATCTCCTGGGAATTATGTAGTAAGTACATTTGGGCTTCTTTGCTCATAAGAATTGATGTTACATTTTATTTGGGCATTGAAATAGTTGTCCAGATGTTAAGAAGAACCCCTGTGTATTGGCCAAGAAGTGAATATCTGATTTGTATTGAGTTGTTTCGTCTGCCAACCACAGTACATATGTTGATGTTCATTAGTGAGACACTTACCAATCTGGCTAAGAGTACCCAGAGTACTGTGTCTTACTTTAGCATGTGTTTCTGTAAACCAATACAATGCACTCTGTCCAATCATGAAGAAAACCATCCCCAGTTACACAACGATATGCCTGAATTTGCAGTTCTTCGGGAGAATAATCTACACCCTACTTTTCCACTCGCCACACAGAGTCTAAGAAGACATTAAACTCTCCCAGTCACAGAGAGAATCAGATAGCAGGATAATGACTAGTAATGAGAGGGCATTTCTTTTTAGTTATACTTTTATTCTTAGAAATTGAAAACACTTATTTTTATTCTTACCATTATTTAGTACATGTTAAATTTTTTCGATAATTTATATGTTCCTGAAGTCATATTAGCAGATTTTACATGAGTTTGCAAATGACCTTTTACACATCATTACATTATAATCCTTGCTGCCTCTCAAAGCCATCAGAGAACACAATTTGTTATAGTATAGAGTGGAACAAAAGCAGGTTTTATGGTTGTGAGTTTGTGAAACACAGTTTATTCTTATATTATTATTTATTAATTATTGTATTATTTTCCATATGGTAGGTTTCCGATTGTAAACCTACCTTTGCCTCACCTATATTTAAGTGGAAATGCCTAACAGAGAAGCAAGGATAAAATGGTAAAAAGGAAAATCTTTTCTGACAAAATTTTCAGAGGTGGTAGCTAACCGGAATAGGAAAAAAGAAATACTTATGAATATCAATGGGCACTTTACCCTCCATGAAAACAGTGTTTCATGAGCATAGTGAAAGGCATACACTGCTTTGGACCTGTGAACTTAATGTTCAATGTTTCCTTAAGTTATACACACTAAGAAAGTCTCATTTTTTTCACATTTTTTAGGAAACAAAAATGAAAATAAGAAAATTTGGGTAAAACCTATTTTTTCTTAAAGTCACTTAAGAATAAGCCTGATATATAGTTTTATGAAATTGCAGATGTTTATTTGAATGAACATCTATGAAGTCGACATAATGAAGTCAACTATGCTTACAAACTCAGAATGAAGTGAAACTTTAGCCCCATAATAGTTATTTCTATCACTGTACATCTGAGAAGTTCTAAAACCCATTACCTGAATTATTCATTTTGGTTTTCTAAGATTACTGAATAATTTTAGAATTACCTAATCTCCATTTCAGGCTGATTGTGTAGCTTCAGCCTTAGTAACCCACAGCATTAGTCAACGTTGCCCCTCATTTCTAATGGATGGGATGGATGAAGGTACAATGCTCCAGAGGTTTTGCAACTGGTACTGAAAGAAGAAAGAAATAGAATCAATGTATTCTGTAAACATTTAAATATTTTTTGGTTTTTAGTTTTCTATTGAATCCACTGATACAAAAGGAAAGAAAATTACAATAAAGTAAATCTCAAATACATATAAATTATTTCTCTTTTATGGACTTGTAAGACCTTATTAAATAGTTTCTTCTCAACCTCATTATACCTGCGAGATTAAGTCATGAGTAATAAATCAGTGTTACAGGCTCATTGTTTGGGGGGACTTGTCAAAATCATCTCAGCATATTTAAGCTAAATTATATTTAACATAACATTGAAATGATTGTGCATTCAAAGAACATAAATTATGGAGAAAATAAATTTCCTCTGTTATTTTCAAATTGGATTATTATAATGTCTAACTTTTCCCCCCTTATATTGTTTAGTGAAATGCCTAATTTTTACTGAAATTCTGTGTCCTTGTTTAGGGTCCTCCGGGAGGTGGAGGGCCTCCAGGAACACCCATCATGCCTAGTCCAGCAGGTATTGTACTCTAACTGGCCCATTGGCATTTCATTTTTAGAATAAAATCACAAAATTGAGAAATTGTTCTGAAAGTTCATCGTATTCATTGTCTCATTGATGGATGCAGCAAGCAGAGGCAGCAAGTAGGAAGAAATGGTGTTCTTAAATTACTACTATCCAGTTACTTTAAGCATTTAGAAAATTTCTGCTAAAATTCTATGCAGATAACATATAGTCAGGATCCAAATTGTGTTGATCTCTTTGAATTTCCCAATAATTTATTTGACTAAAAGATTCCCCGAGACTGCGGAAAAGATCCAAACCTCACAATTTAGAAAAATTGTGCATAAGTAACACATAAAATGCATGGATCCATTTGGTTTAATATAACAAATCAAACTCAGGAATCTGTCATCTTGGTAAGATTGATGTAGACGTGCCTACAATATTATTTACCCTACACATCTATAGGTATTTATTAGTTAGCTAATAGATCCACTATGTAGTATGGAAAAAAGTTTTTAATTTTCTAAACTAAAATACCTCAGTATTCCTGTAGTCATTTAATACAACTATTTTAAATAGCTCTATCCTTTCTTGTTGAAACTTTAATACAGACCATTTAAGTGTATGGTGTCTTGAGGACCCCAGTGGTGGCGGTGGTGGCTGTTTACATTGGCACAACTCTTTTACGAAGTGCTCTGGCAGCATGTGTCAAGAGCCATGAAAAGTCTCTACCACTGGAGTATAATCCTACTACTGGAAATGGTTGGGGAACAGTCTAAGATTTACGTAAAGAAGTGCTCATTCATTATAGTCAGTAGTGAGACAGTAGACACAACTTTCATACCAAATCTAATTGTAGTGAAGCAAACTAATATTTATACAATATAATGTAAACATTTAAATTATTATGAAAGAATGTTTCATTACATGGAGAATAAATATTCATAATTCAATACAACATGATCAGAATTGTATTCAATATTTTTTAAAGATTTTATTTATTTATTTTTTAGAGAGGGAAGGGAGGGAGAAAGAGAGAGAGAGAGAAACATCAATGTGTGGTTGCTGGGGGTCATGGCCTGCAACCCAGGCATGTACCCTGACTGGGAATCAAACCTGTGACACTTTGGTTCGCAGCCCATGCTCAATCCACTGAGCTATGCCAGCCAGGGTTCAATATTTTAAATATTGACTAAAACAATAAAATAAGCTAAAACTTTACCAATGATAACCTCTGGGTAATGAAATAGATGGGAAATTTTATATTTAGAAAAAATTTTAATACTGTTGCACTGTTAAATTCATGTTTTTAACTGGTTTATTTAAGTCTAAGATATATGGAAGCTTGAAATTAAATATCATTAATTATACCAATAAATCATGATGTTTAAGTTTTGAATCTTTCTAATTTAGAAAAGGCATAAATTTAAGAATTAATGTAAATTTTACTTTGCTTCCCTAACTCTTTGAAATATATCATAAATATTTCATAGATCTCTGTCCTCAGAGCATCTTTATTGAAGCGAAACAAAATTCATTGAAGATGTAATTACATGAATTGAACATCTTGCCCACATTTGCATTTCTCTTTGCTGAAGGTATTTATGAAGGTGGCTTGTGATTAATAAACACTTCACTACAATACTAAAAGAAAGTTTTTTTTGAGAAACACAACTTTGCAGGCGATATGTAATTCAGTCACTTCCTTTCAAGCCAGAAATTGCCACCAGTATATCTTTCTGTCTTTTTTGCGTATTCTTTATATATTCATTCTTTGTCAGTCATTCTCCTAACATGAAGCCAACCCCCCAAAAAAGATAGGTGTCCGGAGAGCTACTTTATTATAAAGTTTTTCCATCTGCAATAAGGAATCAGGTATTTTCTAGATAATACCAACTTTATTCCTCTTAGTACTTTTTTAGATGAAATTATATTACTGATTGATCTTAAAAACAGTAAATTTCCTTTTCTTTCTGCATATTTAAAATATACAGCCCATTTTTCTTTCAAATTAATTACTAGAATTAGTAAGTAAAATTACTAAAGTAAATGAAAGTGAAAAATCATTTGAAGTTTCCCTATGTTTAAAAACCAGTCCAAGATTTTCTGAGAGACAAGTCTTTTTGACATAGAATTTATTCCATTAAATTAACAGATATTTATTGTCTGACGTACACAATGTGAGTTAGATATGTTCACTTTCCTTCCCTAAAATTTAGTGTAACCTAGTTGGAAGCAAGAGAAGAATAAAACAAAATATTAACTGTAATGCAAAGTAGAATTCATGCACTTGGAAGTATCAGAAAAAAACCTGATAGCATTTCCAATGTGTCTTGAATAGTGAGTAGAACCTGGTAGGTGGAGAGCGGGTAGCAGACGCTTGGAGGAGGGAAGAGCAAACACACACGTGGAAAGGTCGATCCTGTGCAGGGGAGAGCAAGCACCCGGGTTGGCAGGAGCATGGCCACCTCAGGACATGAAAACAGTTAAAGCCACAAAAATAGGGGGCATTGCAGCTGTTCAATGGTGTGAGGCAGTGCTTTGCAACCGGCATGCTGCAGGAACTTTTAAAACACGCAGCACCTGACTGTTCAGTTAGGGGCACTGACCTCTTTTCCTGTAAACTGTCAAATAAAAAAATGACAACAGCCAATGAATCAGAGTGAACGAATAAAAATTATACCTATTTTTGTCAGATCAGCAAAAATACAACATTTTTTGCTGTGCTACAGAATTTTAGTAATTAGTTTATGTCTACCATGAAATGAAAAAAGTTGAAAGTCACTGGTATGATATATTAATCTAGAAGTGAAAAATAATATTTAAATTTATGGATTACTGTCTACAGGCAACTGATGCATGACATCTAACCTAGAGTCTAAGAGGTATACACTAAAATAATAAACTTATTAATATCTAATAAGTAATCATATAATAAGAGGAAAAATCATTGCTCATTTCCAACTAACTCTGTGGTTATTGCCATGAGGAAGCAATTGATTTTTATGTTCTGCCTGAATCCATATAAAAAATTTGAAACACATCTTTTTCAAAATAGAAAAACCTACTATTTTGTATTTAAGAAACTGTGTAATTACAGAAAAATGGAAAAACTTATTTCATAATTAATATATCCCAGATGTAAAATACTTATCTTTTTACTCTAGGTTATACATGATAAAAACACATATTTATAAACTTAAAGTTAGCTAATAGACACAAAATGTAAATTTAAAAAAATACTATAAAATGTTATATATTTCAATATACACTACAGTTATTTTTATTATAATGAACCAAGAATAAAATGAGGAAAAAATTTTATCAAAAACTATACTTCAAGAAGCTAGCTTTTACTTCAATTAAGAGAATTGTCACCCTGGCTGGTATGGCTCAGTGGATTGAGTGCAGGCTGCGAACTGAAGGGTTGCCAGTTCGATTCCCAGTCAGGGCACATGCCTGGGTTGCAGGCAAAGTCCCCAGTGGGGCCCATGTGAGAGGCAACCACACATTGGTGTTTCTCTCCCTCTCTTTCTCCTTCCCTCCCCCTCTCTCTAAAAATAAATAAATAAAATATTTTTGAAGGGGATTGTCAGTCCAATTTTGTAGTTTTCATCTACTCTCTGTTGGAATTAAGCCAGGATATTTCACCATCTTTCACTAATTATTAGCTAAATAAATAATATTTTAAATTTGTGTAAAGAAGCCTAAGGAAACAATGAAAACTGAAAAGTTATTGAATCTTACTTTAAAAGATTTTTGTTATACATATACATATAAGTTGCTTGGAGAAGTCAAAAAATGTCCATGACTTTAAAAAAAACTTTATTTTTTTTAGATTTTTAAACGTGATTTCTTTTTACCTGAACTATTCAAATGATTACTCCTAACATATTAGATAAATAGTCCTAATTTACAGCCTTAGGATAGTGCTTCTGAGTCAGAAGATGACTTCAAGGTATTCATTTATTTCTGAATGTTAGCAATGGTTAGTGCAAGTGCTGCAACTGTTAATACATACAGGTGTCCACATCATCTCCAGTTATTACTCTGTGATGGCTTGGGTATAGATTATAAAGAAGAATATTAATTAAGTGATATTTTGTTTCAGATTCAACCAACTCGGGAGACAACATGTACACTTTAATGAATGCAGTACCTCCTGGACCTAACAGGCCTAATGTAAATACGAATTTAAAAAAATTTTTACAATGTATTTGAAGACAAGCTCTTAGTGCATTCCATTTCTTGGATCCTCTTTAAGCTTTATAGTTTATATCCGGGTGCTTATTGGATCTCACAAAAATCAAATTCTTTTTATGTTCTGGGTTGAAAAAACATATATATAACAAAAGATTCATATAAAATTTAAATGTGAAAGTGAATCTAATTAATTATAAAATGTTGGTGTGTAGTCTTATTTTATCTCAAATACTTAATAATACTATTTAAAAATGACAGGTAACATGTAAATGTTTGTTACCTCATTTTACTGTCACTAATTTCTTCCTTGTGATACTGCTTTGTTTTTTTTTATCCTGACAAACTTGACAATAAATGAGGAAGTTGAATATGCTTGTTTTTCTTTAGATTTTGGAATCTGGAGCTTAAGTGTGGAATAGAGGCAGTCCTGCTGAAAGAATTTGGGAGTTTGAATAAAGCATATGGTTGTGATTTTTCCACTAAAGCTCACAGCTTTCAGGAAAATATTTTATTTATCCATTATACAAGACCTGTATATTAACAAAAAATATTTATAGCAGAATGTGGTTACTACACAGATATATATATATGTTCAAATTAAAGAAAAATCAGAAAACATAAAATAATTTTTATAAATACACTAAAGACTGAGCATGAAATAATTATAATTGAGCTTCCTAGAAGTGAAGACAACAAAGGGAAACTTTAAATCTGTGTGATACGGTTTGGTATTTGAAATACAGCTAGTCCAAGTTGAGATGTGCTGTAAGTATAAAATACACACTGGATTTTGAGTAATTAGTATGAATAAACAATACAAAATATCTCATTAAAATGCTTTTATTGACTATATGTGGAAATGATACTTTTGATATAGAGGGTGAATAAAATACACTATTAAAATTAACTTCACCTGTTACTTTTTACTTTTTAAACATGGCTGCTAGAAAATCTAAATTTACTGGTTTAAGTTCACATTTGTGACTTGTATATTATGGTGGAACCTCAGTTCTCAAACTAAATTCATTCCAGAAAATTGTTTGAGAAGCGATTTGTTCAAAAGCTGAGTGTCCTGTGTTTGTCACCTGAAGACGCATGGCTGATCCTGCAGGTATCAGCGTGAAAGGGGTGTTGGGCAAAGAATGGAGACCCAGAGTTTTGCTAGACAACCGACACATTTTTTCCAATAAGCAGCTTTGCTGAGAACTGAAATGTTGGAGAACTGAGATTTAACTGTGCTCCGTTAAGCACTGGTTCAGCTGTCATTGTTCTTTTTATATAATCAAGTAAATTGTTTATCAGGAAATTAAACAATTTCCTATCAATTATGTCTAAAAGGTGTTTTCACAGAGATCTTAAAGAACACTGAATATGATAAAGAACAATGTTTATTTTAGAAATTCAGCAAAAAAAATAGGAAGGATCTTTATACTGCGATTTTGTATCTGAAAACTTGATATTTAAAAGGGAGGGAGCAAAGGAAGAAGCCAAGAGCACATGGTACTGCAGACATTTCTGGGGGCAGCTAAGCTGACCACATCCAAGTGTATTCCACTCTGGTTCTCTAACTCCCTACAAACATAAGAGATCCAAGAAAAGCAGGTGAACATATCACTTTTTCAAATGTTATTCATCTCAGCCAGAGCTAGTAAAAGCAGGTACCTGCAGAGGGCTAGGTCAGGCATACACACCTTTCATCTTCATGTCTTTTAAACCACCACCGGGGCCAGATAAAAAGACCAGACGAAGTTCACAGACTGTTGGCCTCACCAGCACCAGTTTCTCTGCCCAGATCTATGCTTTTGACAGAAAATTGAATAACAGCAATAAGTTCAAAGTTAATTTATTTTGCTTATCATTTAAGGCATACATATTCCAAATTGTTTACTGAAAATCAATCCATGTGCTTTTCGACAACAAAATTTTAGGAAACAGAATTGACATTTCTTGGGACAATGTATAAGCATGTGATTTGTATGATCGTAGATGACACATAGCTGTCTCATTTCCACACAGACTTGACGGTAGACAGGTTGTGTGCTGAGGGGGAGTGCTTGTCCCCCAAAGTCTGTACGATCAGTAACTACCACCGCCGGGTCTATGCACACAAATACATGCACACTGCACACACCACGTGCAGGATTCTGTGTCACGCAACATGGAAGAAATGCTTTTGGACAGGAAGTTTTAAAAGCAAGTGTTTTCAGTAGTTTTTCTTAACTGCAAACATAAGATAACTTTAGGAAACATCTTCAAACTCAGGTCTGGGTTTCCTCAAAAGCATTTCAGGGAGTTGAGGCAAAGATTGAGTGAGCAGGGGCCCTGAGCTCACCGCCACCCGATCTGCCACAGCACATCCGTTCACAGGGCTTGCCCCAGGCTTCTAAAGTAAGATTTCACTTGAAAATAAAATACAATAATATCGCTGCTTTTTAAAATGTTCATTATAACTGCTGTACAATGATTGTCATTGAACTGAGATAGTGAGACTGCCGAGAAGAACTAGCTGTACTCAGCCGTCCCCAAGGGGCTAAATGTACAGGGTAGGGCAAAAGTAGGTTTAAAGTTGTTCAAATGGAAAGTACTACAATAACTAATAAATAATACAAGAGTAAATTCTGTGTTTTGCATACTCACAACTGTAAACCTACTTTTGCCGCACCCTATATTTAACCTATGAGATTAAATTATTTACATCCATGTGAACAGAAAATAGGTTGTCTGCTAAAAAAGTTAATGTCGAATCATTCTTACTAATAAGGTATTAACCATCTTTAGCAGCTTTATAAAAATTACCTCTTGTTTATAACAGCACAACAGCATAGAAGAGAATGATTATGATTTGCACTGGAATGCATTTGCGTTCTAGTTGAGGATATCTGGGGAAGAAAAGTTCGGTTGCGAATGGGGATTAATCTGAAGATCCAGGGAGAGCGTGGAAGGAGAAAGGCAGGGCAGTCCAGTGAGGGAATCCACAAGGCTCAACACACCTAGGAAAATCATCTCAATAACTTGGAAATGAAAATAAGCTGTGGAATTGCCCTAAAATGTTAAAAACAAGTATTATAACATTAGTATAAATAGTTGTTTTTAATATTATTCTTTTTTTCTTTTTTTTTAAATAGTTTCCAATGGGCCCCGGTTCAGATGGACCCATGGGTGGATTAGGAGGGATGGAGTCACATCACATGAATGGCTCTTTAGGTAAGGATATTAAATTTGATGTTTAGAAATAAATTAAAAACAAAACCTTAATCCTACATAGTAGATAATAATATGATTTGCAAAGTTCTTTTGTATACAGTGACTCATTTTGAAATGCTTCACCTTTTATTTCACCCTGTTAGTTTAATCTATAGTGTGTTATTTATGATGACTGCAGATCATTTGAAAATCAGATATGTGAACTTTGTTCTAACCTGGCTCATATTCACAGGTGTTTACTTTAACCTAACAAAGTCTGGGTGTTTTATGATAAAAGGAGGCATTGCTGTTTTGGACAGGCACAGCTTCCCTGCAGGACTATAGTATCCTCCGAACTGGTTTCTTTGTTTTTAAAGGTCTGGAGAGCATTATGCTAAGTGAAATAAGCCAGAGTGTGAAAGACAAACACCATATGATCTCACCTATAAGTGTAACCTAATCAACAAAACAAACAAGCAAGCAAAATAGAACCAGAGTGATGGAAATAAAGAACAAACTGACAGTGACCAGAGGGGAAGGGGGAAGGTGGGCAAAGGCAGAGGGAGAAGGGGAAGGGTCAAGTCAAGGAACATGTGTAAAGGACCCTTGGACAAAGACAACAGTGCGGGGATTGAATTTGGGAGGTGGGGTGGGCAGGGCAGGGGAGAGCAATGGGGGACAATGGGGACAACTGTAATTGAACCACAATAAAAAATGCAAAAAAAAAATAATAAAGGTCTGTCGATACTATCTCAGAGAACCTTTCGTTTTTTTGCAAGAATTTCTTACCAGTTTTCCGTATTTGAATGTTTGCTTCTTTTAAAATAATATTGGTATGATATTCTGGATAATCTGAATGATTCTCTTACGAGAGAACACTGCCCACATTTTTTTGTGTTCAGTGATAAAGCTGATTTCAAGTGGTGTAGAGTAATGGTTAAAAACATACTTCGTAAGTGATGTCTTCTTGCCAAATGAAGCCAAATACCTGCGAAGTGAACACAAGGTTTCACAATAGTGAGAAACAGAAAAATGGTACAAATCAACTCAGCCACAGAGCCCACTATATGTATCAGCAGGCCAAATGCAAAACCCAAAAAATATTTATTATATGTTTAAGTAACATTATTTTAAACTAATGTAAGAATTCATGAAGGGGGTGGAGGTTTGTGATAATTTTTTCCTTTGAAAATGGACCGTCTTTTACTTAGATGGAGAAACTATGCCCATAAGTAACTGAGATCATACACAGACTTTACAACCCCATCCAAGGTCAAAAATGCCACTTTATGATACTTTGAAAAGCCACATAGCCTCAGCAATCAAGAAACTATTTGCAACACATTGGTAGATTTTTCTGCTTTTAAGGATCCATACCTATTTTGCCTATACTTCAAATTCTTACTTTGCACTTTCCAATTATGGTAACCACTAGCCATGTGTGACTACTTAATTTAAAATTAAAAATAAGTAAACTGTAGAGTTCAGTTCCTCAGTTGCACTACCACATACCACGTGCACAGAGCCACATCAGCTAATGGCTGCCAGAATGGAAAGCACAGGAAGACACTTCCATCATCACACAAAGTTCCACTGAACAGCACCAGTCTAGAATTGTATTTTCCAATTTCTTGCAAAATAATTCACTTTCCAATCTTTTAATCTATAAAATTATTCACAAAAGATGACCTATGGTCATAGTTAAAGGATTCTCAGTTATATTATTCACTAAAATAAACTTGCAAAGAGTTTCATATGCTTGACATGTGGCTTATTACTTTCTATAATGAACCTTATTGTACCTATTTATATATTCATAACTAGACACATACCTTTGTTACTGAAAAATTTGTTATGTTTGCTTGTTTATAGATTAATCATGTTAATAAGCCCTAACTTTATTTGTGACTGTTGACTGAATGTTGTACTATTAAAACATTATAATATTTCTGTGTCAGGAGATTGTTAAAATAATTTAAAACAAAGTTGATATTGGGGCAAAGATGTAGTTATTGTTTCTTTATACCAGTAGGTATAAAGTATGATTCCATTTCTTTAATGAGAAATTACTACTGGTTGTTCATTTTACTCAAGCATCAAAATAAAACAATATTGTATCTTGAAGACGTGTTTGCTTGTGATGGATTGCCATGAGTATTGATTGCTGTCAAATATGTGATATTATTAAAAATACTTTGCTTTTGGTTATTATACTAAAATGTGGGTCAGAATGTCTGCTATTGATGCAAATGTCCATTTTATATTTTATCAGATTTAGAAGCATCATATTAAGAAATATATTTAGAGATCTCTCTCTTGCTCTCTAGTTGAACACACACACACATAAACCTACATTTTAACACTGTGAATTGTGTAGTATATATTAATCTCTCCATTATTTTACTTCCAGGAATTTGTGATAACAATAGTTTTCTTCATTCTGCCATTAAAAAAACTAAATAATTGGAAACTAGAGAGGTAAAACTCTTCCCCGTATTTACCATCAAATGGTACTTATTTGATGGCAGTGTAAAAATAAGTTTTTTAAGATTAAAATTTCAGGAGGTGTACACTGAAAATACATCAAGTATGCTGCATTTATTTATATTAAATATTATTTATATTAAATATATGTTATATATTTATATATTACTTACCTATATTATTTATATTAAGAAGTACTTAATTTAGAAATGAAATCAGTACCTAATAAAGACTTTCTTTCTGTATTTTTGTTTCAGGCTCAGGAGATATGGACAGTATTTCCAAGGTGAGTAGTGTGTCATCTCTGTTGCTTTTTTTTGTCTGTATTTTATTCTACATAGAACTCTCATTAAGATTATTAGAGTAACTTTGTGAATTTTGTTCTTGAACAAGAGTTTCAAAGTGGAAGGCCAGATATAATTAACTACAAGATTAAAATACTAATGTATATAATCTGGGGGAAAGGGTAAAAATGAATCTTTTACAAATGTCTCTAAACATGCTAAGGTTCACTTTCAAGATATACTATACCCAATTAATGGATACCCAAGTAATAACCAATTTAATCATTTTATGATGTTACATATTTGTAAAACAAAATGACCAGTTTAGATAATCTTTTAAAAATAAAGAAATCTAGAGCAACATGAGAAGTACATTTGAAAAAGTGATTGTAAGGGCATTGAATTTCTACATCTCATTTTTCTTTAAAGCCTTCATTAGGCAATGCAGATGTCCTCAATCACTACTCTAGTTCCCCCAAATAGAGTAAGAAAATAATTAGAGGAAAATTATATTAATACAAGTAGGAAAGTAAGCCTTCCAATAACATGTGTCTGCATTTTTCTTCAAGAGTTTGAGTATCTAAAATTAATCCTTTGCTAAGATGCCTTACATTTTTTGAAGAAGAGTGTCTAAATATTTTGTAGGTCATGATGAGTTTAAAATAGTTCTCTGTGGGTTAAAAATATATTTAGAATAGTTTATAAGAACTAATTATTAACTACCACTAGAACAACTCTCTGAAAAGTCTACTTCATATCAATAAATAGAGAAATTCATTAAAGGATGTCATTTTAAAATTTTTCTCCTTTATGTTCATGTATAATAATGTGAAATTCCTGATGGTAAAGGAAATACAATAACATTGAGCTACAAAACCTTTTAAATTAAGACTTAAAGCTAAAAGGAAAAAGAGAAGAGTGAGAGAGTTTAATTAGCATTCTGACCTTAAGTCTACATTGCTTGGCTTCAAGGTTCTACATACACTTTGGATGTCTGTGTCTAGGAACAATCAGGAAGGTCTTTTTCTTTTTTAAAAAATAGATAAATATTTATAAAGAGCACTAGCTTACTTCTGTGAGACATAGTATTAGGTAAGCCTTCAAAAATCCTATTTTCAAGATCAGATTCACTGTGTGATTCCATTAGAGCCTTTCTCTGGGCAGCTCCTTACAAGTTAGCTGACTGATTCTGTCAGCTACCTCCAGTATCTAAGGACTGGTGTTAGCTGAACTGTGCTTTGTGGTCACCAGTGAAATTTCTGTGATATTTGAGTAGCATGGTCTGGTGACTAAAGATGGTTCTTCATCACACGGAAGTGGGATCTTCCAGATTGCTTAAGGCCTTCTTCCTAAAATTCCTGCTAACAGCCCATAGCCTTGTATATTAGATGGATGTGAACAGGATTCTATGAGAAAGTACTTGGTAATTTATAAAGTACTTTAAAATTTTTAAATAGTGCCATAAGACCAAATTAAATACCATCTTCTAATCTTCCTTTATATCAGGTCTATTGCTCTTCCCTCTGTGCTTATTTTCCCATTCCTATTCCCAGGCAAGGTTTTCCACTACCTTGTACCTACTGCTGATAACACTCTCTTGCCTAATGAGGTATTGCTTATTCTTTAAGGCATTAATTGATCACCCATTGTGTACTTTTGTGTACTGGGCACTGCCTTGCACACTGTAGAGAGATTCAAAAGACTTCTTTAAATACAAACATAATCTTTGCCCTCAAGTGATTTATACTTAGACAGCAGTTTCTTCATTCAGTAAACTATGTCACCAGGCATTATTCTGGGCTCTCAAAATCCAAAGATAAACAAGATAAGGTCTCTGTTTTTAAGAAAGTCAGTATAACTAAAAAGATGAAACAAACACAGTAAGGAAAAACTTTTCAAAGCAGAATTCAAATACATTCCATAATAATTATCTCCAAGTAATATACATGCCACCTAGCAATGCACCAGAAATGATTAGTTGCATCTACCTTCAAAAGAGCTACTACGCAGCTCATTTCTGCACTGCCCCCTTTCCAGGCTGTCTGGGTGGTGGTGCCTTTAGTGTCTGTCCATCTCCAGTGCTCCAGTTACTTTCCCTCTAGTCAGCAGCAGCATGTGTATTTTCCCCCGACAAACACCCCTACACTGGTCTGTTTCTCCCTACCTCTTTCCACTCACAGCCAAATAATTCGTCCTTTCCTCCAAGCTATACACATTGTCACTAACTCAATTTCCCCACTTTCTTCCTTTTCATGCACGTGTCCAGCTATCCACAGAACTCCGTCCTCCTTTTCACTTGTTCCTGGGTTTGTTCCTTTTCATCCTATTCTGTTTCTAGTCATCCTTGTTTTTGAATCAAAAAATAATCTTGACTACTCCTGCTTGGCGGTGTGGTTCAAAATCCCGGTTAGTCTCCAGCTACAACCTCCTAGCTTCACAGTTAAACCTGTGTTTTGTCAAGTACCAGTGTTACATATTTGTAAAAAATGCCTTACTCAATTTTAATGTTGTTTATTAGTACTATTTCAATTCTTTTTCTACATTTTTATTGTAGAAAATATACATTTAAATATATTCTACATTTTAAATATACTCTGTTTAATGCATTTTATATGTAAGGTGAAGAGTACTGAATTGAGAATCAGAAAGCCTGGTTCTACTACTTACAAGGTTTGGCAACATGTTGCTTAATTTCTATTCATCTTTGTTTTCTTAGCTCTAAAATAGAGCTTGTAGTTCATTCCTCACCTAGTTCATGAAATTGTTGAGAATCAAGTGTGACCATATGCTAAGGGCCATGAAGCACTGTACAGATGCTAACTGTCTTCCTCCTCACGTACTCTCTTTTGTGGGCAAGGCTAGGAACTCACGCTGTCAGCTCCACTTTGATGGCACTGCTCCACTGGCAACATGAACTAACACTCCAAACAAAGAGTTTTAAGTTTTAGTTATTTTTTGTTTGTTTTAATATTGTGTTTATTTTTTAGAGAGAGGGGAAGGGAGGGAGAAAGAGAGCGAGAGAAACACTGATGTGTGAGAGAAACATCAATTGGTTGCCTCTCACACACCCGCAACCAGAGATCTGACCCGCAACTCAGGCATGTGCTCTGACTGGGAATCGAACCTGAGACCTTTGGGCACACAGGCCAGTGCTCAACCCACTAAGCCACACCAGCCAGGGCTCCAAATAAAGAGTTTTAAAATTACTGCCTGCTCTTTTGAGGATTACCTAGTAAAACCCATGCATCTTTCCCAAAATGCAGAATTCACCTTTAATTTGGAAGCACTTTTTTTTTAACTGAAATGTGAAAATCTTGGCATCCCTTTTGTAACTGAGAAGTCATTCATTTAATCAGTAGAACAAAAATATTGTGCCTTGGAGTTGTTTTAAGGGTTGGGGACATAGAGGAGCATATGATTTGTTTTCTTAGAATGAACTCTCTTAAATAAATTCTGCAGTTCAAATTAAGATACTTAACATTTATATTTTTGAGCTTGAAAAAAAAAAGGATACAAGAGCAGGCAAGATCTGGTCATGTTATGCTTAATAAATTATCAAAGGAATCTTTTCAGCCTGAAGCTGTCTCACCTCATGCACCTCAGTTCCAGTTAAATATCCCACACCGTTCACAGGGAAGCTGTCTGACAGCTACAGATTCCTGCCATCATCTCAGTGGTGGGCCTGGGCACCAGCTCCCTTGCCCATGGGGAGTGCCAGGACTGGCAGTTCATTCTTTTGGGTAAATGACAGTGTAAAATGACGCTCTGTAAACCTTGTAATGGGCAACCTGTGAGACATGAATCCAAAAGTCACTTCCAAAGGGCTTAGAATAATGTCAATATTATTTTCTTTTAATTAGAGATAGAGCCAAAATTTTTACAAGTGTTCCCTTTTTTAATAGCAGCTTGAAAGTTTTGGAACAATTTCTAGGGACAGGTGGAAGAAGGAAAAATAACATACTAATTAAAAGATGATACGGAAGATTACTTGGAAGATAGAACCAGAAAACAGAGAGCTGAATGAATTGAATGTGTCATCCAGAAGAAAGTGTGTGTGTGTGTGCCCACGCACAGGCACATGCATGTACTTAACAAGAACGTTCATATCTGATATCATAGCTTAAGTAAGGGAAATGTTCCAGTTCGAAGAAAGGGTAAATGAGAATATCATAAAATCTCTTGAAAATGGATTGATATAATATTAACTATACTTTTTAAGTTAAAGTCTTAGCGTATAAGCAGGAAATAAAGTACATATTAACTGAAGTAAGAAATGCAACCAAAATGCTTAAAGTCACTAAAAGTGATTTTTATTTGTGTTCTTCATGCTCCATATTCCCTAATTATGTGCTCAAGCAATCAAAGTGCTTTTTTGACCAATCTCAGTCCTTTTTGTGCATTATATCTGTGCCTTTATGATGAAATCTCCTGGACCCTGCACACAAACATACCTACAGTGAAATGAAGCACATGCCCAGTTCACTGCCACCTCCCTGCTCACCTGCTCGGGCCTGGGGTTCGGAGCCTCTGTTGCAGCCGCTCCTCAGATGCTAGCACAGAGTGTGACTTTGTCCCCCTTGTCACTCAGAGACCATGGATGGCACAATCTCCTTAAGACTCCCCACTGAGAAACTTTTGCTGTTTTCACTACATTTTGCAGAGATTACATCAGTTTTTTTAGGTGTTTTATCATTTGAAGATTTTTAAATATGCCCAGTGTGCTAGATAGGACTAGGTTTCAGAGATCTGATATTAGTTCAGTTTTGTATGTTGAATATGTCCTTTTAATCTTCCTCTCAGTGTTCTTTAATCCCACAAAAAAAAAAAAAGAAAAGAAAAAGACTATAATGCTAGGTCACCACGATATGAAAATAATGCATGAAAAACAAAAGTAATAACACTGGAAGTGTTTTATAACTATTTCTTCTAAATATTCTTGTAAATATTTCTTTCTAAATATTTAAACGGTCACACAATGTTACTTTAAAATTTTTAAATCAACACTTTGAGTCAGGAATCAGATTTGAATTTAGCTAAACTTTCAAAATTGTAAATCAGAAAGTGAGATATGGCAGAAGTACAGCAGGGTCTGAGAACAGCCTGACTTACTCAGCGGCGTGCGGCTGCTTTCAGAGCACCTTGGGAGCTCCTGAGGGTGCAGACGTTACTCTGGAGTGGAGAGGGCTTGTTCCAGAGGTTTGTTTGAATATGCAGAAGCATTCAGTTCCCAAGTGCATCCTCACGTACCCATGTATAAAGATTAAATTATTTTTAAGTTTACTAATTTCCCCATATGTTTGAAATGACAGAAATCTGTCTTCACCAAAAAGACATATATTTGGGGTAAATCTTGCAATATTTGTACAAATTTACTTTTATTTTTGAGCTAAGTTAGCATTACCATTTCTATTTAAAAAACAGATTGATTAATTAATAACTTTAAAATGAATAAGCTATAGCTTAGTTACATTTAATTAGATTTTATTTACTATTTTTCTGGAAATGAAGTTATCCATGTTCATTTCAAAGTATATTTGCTTTTCTGTATACTTGGGAAACTAACATTTTTAGAGAAAAATTATCAAAAAAAGAGTTCTCTTTATGCTGTTAAACTATGGGTCCCCAGCTGGTGTGGTCCGTTGCCACACTGAGCTCCCGTGGACTTCAAAGGGCCCTGGGGGTGCACAGCAGGACAACATGCCGGCCATGTTGCCACCAGTCCGTACACCTGTGTCCGCTTTACAGTTTAACCACATTTTTAGAAAACACACATTCTCATTCATGAAATTTTAATTTTTATGACATAAGTTGGTTTTAGTTAAGTCAAATCCTCAGAGCAATTTTCTTGTAAACAGCTAAAAATTTACCCAAAAACAGAGTGTACAATACAATGGCTTAGGAGGCAAAAAAAATCTAAAATCTGTCTCCCACTTGAAATAACAAATAAAAAATTTTAACCATGAAGTTTATTTTTACAAGTCAATAAATTGGACCTTGAAAGAGTCCCTCAGCCACAGTTGCAGTACTGTGTGAACATGCTTTATATGCCAATACCATTCTGTTCTTATTTCTTATAGCTGTGGAGTAGGGGACAACTCACAGGGCTAAAACTGTATGCTAATAGTGAGACTAGCAAACTTAAATAGAATATGAAGTGATATATTGCTAACTTAGTGTTTGATTAGATAGCTAATATCAGTCATTTTCTCTTAAAGGAAAGTTCCAAAGTAAACCTTTTCTTAAACTAATGATAGAAAAAGGTTCTGAAGCAGGTTTACCTTGTAGCACTCTTTTCCTCTAAATGTACATACTGAATTCTCAGGTCCTAAGGTGTTTCTCTTGTTCTTAACTACAATTGTTAATGATTTTCTTTTTTCCTTATGGTTTATATGAAAATAATGGTTAAAGTAGTGTAATTGTGCAAACCGCATGTGGCATTAAAGGGAAACGTTTATGAAAAGGACGACCTTTTGGAGTGTGATTAGTAAAATCACGGAGGGCCATCGAGGCTCTGTCCTGCCTCATCAGTGGACGGGCTCTCTTTATTATGCTCCTGCTGGGAATGTTTTCAGACTCTCCAGCATTCTAGGAACTCTCTCAGCTGAGGGTGGGAAATTGAATAAATATATTGATTCTAAGACTAAGAAAAAAGTTGTGGTGGGTTATGCTGGGCTTTCTCTGTGTGCTTCAGCTTTCATTGGGGAAAGCATTAGTACTCGTCAAAGTTCAAAGAATGAACTAGAATATGTGGTCTAAGATTAGAATCACACATCGGCTTTGTCCTTAGAGATGCTGCTATAGATTCCATTTTTGAAACAGTTCAATGCAAGAGGGAAATTAAAATCCTCAACAATGCCTTGTTTTCTAAATCTTGTTTACAGAACTCTCCCAATAATATGAGCCTGAGCAATCAACCGGGCACTCCAAGGGATGACAGCGAAATGGGGGGAAATTTCTTAAACCCTTTTCAGAGTGAGAGTGTAAGTATCCCCTTGACTGCATCATTATATACAGATTTTATTTCCGAAGCTCTTCTCTTAGAATTAATGCATAAAGCCATTATTACAGCTGTTTACAGTTTAGTAGGTTGACCTTTTAAAAGTTAGAAAATTAAGTGAAATTTCTTTGAAAAAAACTTTAATATAAACTTTTTATTTTTTACTCCCATGCACATAGTTACAAAAATAAAAATTATAATACTAACTTTCTTACAGAGAACATCCACTGTTAAGGAATACATTGGAAATAGTTGTGTATTTGATAGTTTTTGTAAGTTTTCACATTATCAGAATGTCTTGAATCACTGCAAAACCAGGGGCAGACAAGAGTAGGTTCACAGTTGTTAGTATGTGAAACAGTTTATTCTTATATTATTATTTATTGTATTATTTTGCATATGAACAATTGTAAATCTACTTTTGTCCCACCATATGTATACACATACACATATGTATATATGTATGTATACTTATATACACATGTATGTATGTGTGTATATGTATCTATGTTAGTGAGGACAAAAAAGGTATACATAAAAATTCATTAAAAAAAATCAAAAGTGTATCCCATGAGTGATGAGAAAATGGGAAATATATGAGAAACTATGTATTTTGTCATAATGCTTAAGATTATGGAAATTATTTTTTAAAACCTGGTTCTTTCACTAGTTTGTTGCAAGACTATGGACAAATTAGTTAATTTTAATCAATGACTTAATGTTTACTTTATCTAAGTAGACATACATATATCTTTGCTTCTAATTCTTCCAGCAATAAAATGGTATAATTCAATGAAGTATAATTAATTCCATTTAATTCAACATGTATTAAGCCTGCTTTATGTAAAGCACTAGGTTAAGGACAGGTATTCTGAGATAAATGTAACACACCCCTAACCTCAAAAATTGCAGTCAGACGGGGGAGAACATACATATATACCTAATTAAACCACATGTCAGATTCGTAATTACTATCGTAGATATAAACCAGGCATTTTAAAGGCATAGAGGAAATTATTAAGTTTGGACTGGATAAAAACTTTTTAAAGAAATTTCCACACAACTTGAACTCCAGAGGAACTCGCCCCTCTGCTTCCTGCCCAGAGTTGTCATTACTGGCTGCTGCATGCTTTAAGTCCGAATCACCTCAGAGTTGTATCAGAAATCTCTTTACGGGGATCAAAGAATCAGACATAACAGGGCTTTAAAAAACTTCTTGGTGCAGAATAAATACCAGCCCCACCCTTTACGCTCAACTGGAGAATGCACACGTGTGCCTAGAAAAGAGAGCGTTCGGGGCACGGCCTCTCCCGTCCCTGACTCCTGGCCCAGCCTCTCTACCCTTGCGGCCAAGAGAAAGGTAAAATGCCACACTACTCCGCAGAGTTAGCAGAAACCGAGTTCCCACCTTTCCTATCTCCTCTCCTCTCTTGGTCCCACCAGAAAAGTCCCAAACAGAGAAATAATTGGGTGGTGGCTGAGGAGCTGCACCGCCACCAGGAGGCCGTGCTGTAGTAGCAGTTCTGCACTGGCTGCTCTGTCCTTTTGTCTGTCTGGTGAGGGGCCTGCCATATTATGAATGATGTCATTGTTAGCTGCAGTTTTCTCCATCACATCACCACACATTTTTGTTTAGACTTGTTTAAAACATCAAGAAATGAGATCAGAAAGGGAGGAAGACAAAAGACAAATGTGTAAGGCCTTAGGAAGATATAGACTAGGTATCTCCAATAAGTTATCTTTACTATAACCAAGGAAAAGCATAACTATTTAATGAATTCAAATGCAAATGGCACCCTCTCCCTCCTGGGAGCATGCCCACGCCTTCCTTCCCTCTCAGATGTGCATCTCCTGTACTCGGAGGGTCCCCATGAGACTTACAAGCAGCAGAGCAATGGGCAGCTCATCCCAGGCTAACCCCCTGAACCTGTCTCCAAGGCCCCTTTTCTCAGACTTTTCAGTGAGCCAAAGCAGCCCCACCGACGCTCGTTTCTTTCCTGTGAGCTTCCTGGAGAGACCCGCAGCCCTGCCTAGTCTCTCCTGTCGCTTCCTTCTGTCCAAGCCCTTCCTTGTTTCACTGTCCCCAGCTCTAATAAACATAGTGTAAAAATAAAAAAACATTTTCCAATGAATGAACTTATAAAATTCTAATAATTTTTAATGCACATAATTCTGAGAAGCACATATTGTTGAGCAATCTGCCTTTTGAGGCTTTGTCCGTCTTTCCCTTGATGGTAAATCACAGGAGAAGGCCTGGGAAGGGAGGGAACATCTATTGGGGGCTTATTACAAACAGACACTATCCAGTCACTTCACACAGGCCACTTCCTTTAATCAATATAGAACCAAATGCCTGGCCTGAAGTCAGAAATCTTGCAGTGCCGACATGCTTTACACAGAAAAATGTGAATCAGAAATGTTTCACTCTTCACCTCTTGTTTTCTTAGATCGTAAATAAGTCCTTTATTTCAAGAAACAAAGAGGCTCCTTAGTGTGTACTATATAAAACTTTTGGTTTTGAAATACAGAATACAAAAAAGGCTTAGTTCAAAAAATAGTGCTTTGTGCTTCTCAAGTAAAAAAAAGTGAGTCATTTCTTGAATTAATTTAGCAGAATATTTTCTCTGTGGCACAGAACTATAATCAACTGAGCAAACTTGATATTAAAATCATGGGTGTCAAATAGGAATTATAAACAAGATGCCAGATCATGTCCTCCTGCTCCCTGCTGCCCTTCGTCATTTTCTGCTATTGTAAAGAAAGCACATGTGGCCAACTTTTTTACACAGTCACATGCACACTACATATGTCTCACTTTAGCTCAGAGTAGCTACACTGTAGTTATCTCACTAAAAAGATGAAATATTATATAGATATTTAGAAATAGAAATATGGTGAGACCTGAAATATAGCTCAGAGTAGTTGCACATTAGTCATCTCTCATAAAGGAAATATAGATACTTAGAAGTATAATGAGGTCTGAAGCGTTCTTGAAGTGTATAAGCAGGAATTTACGCCCATTGTTCAAGGACTTAATGGGTGTCTCTGATGGATTCCGTGGTGCTTGAACTGGGTATAATAAAGCGAAAATCACAAATTCTCTAGTACATACCAAGGCCTGTCACTTCAAAAATAATTTACATAAAAAGGTAAAACAAGCTAGTATGTGTTGAAAATTATACCTTTAGGTTTTACTTTTTTTTTTTTTTTTGTTAAACCAAGCACTAATGTTGTCAACAGCTTTATAAGAGCCATTTTATCATTTGCTTAAGGAGAAACAGACTCAATAGTTTTGAAACAGCAACCCGATATCACAGCATTCTGGCACAAACATCACGATATGCCTTTGCATACTGATGCAGCCGTACGATGGAAATACTGCAGCGTCGTCTCAGGACAGTACACCATGAATATTTAATGTCTCTAAATCTGATACCCCATTGAACACCTACTCTTCCTTTTCCTCTCAAAAACCCTAAGCCACTTCTCTTCTGCTATGAAGAGTAGTAACCAATAGCAAAATTCCTTTTTACATGCACATTCTGTGCGTTGTTCTAGAAATTATGTGATATCCCTTAATTTTACACAGTTGAAGCATTTTCAATAAAGGCAGAAGCAGGTCGGCAGGTTGTAGCCTTAGCAGTGCAAACAGCACAGCGCTTACATAGACACTCACGCATCAGTGCTGCCTGTTACACTGCCCGGAATACACAGAGAGCCTCCTTTTACAGCCACTTGTACTAGTCAAATATTAAATATTATCAGGTGCCTGCTCATTTTTCTGAGTTATATGACTTGGAGCTGCTGCTTCCTCCCTTTCTGACTGAATCTAACCCTTATTTTCTTTTTCGTTGTACCTTATTTTTCCAATTAGTTTCCTCCCTGGATAAGCCTAGCTTTCCTAACTTCCCAGTGATTCTATAACAAGTTTTCATTTTTATGTAAAACATTTGAAATGTTACAGGTTAAAAATCTTAACAATTGCCAGTGTGAAGAGATGGTAGCAACCAACAAACATGCTTGACATGCAGAAAATGTGCATATATATATATATATATATATATATATATATATATATTTACATACACCAATACTTCTAACAGTGTATATTGAAACAAAAGTTATAATATAACTGCCTCCCCCAACATTACATGATATCTATGACATATGAATGAACTGCAATAATCCTATGAAAAAAGGATTCAAGAATTTTTAAAATCCCTGTGATGTAGAATGTGCATTTTATAAGATGGTCTCTAGGGCTCCTTATGACTTCTCCAAAAAATATTTTTCAGACATTTCCTCTAAAGTTCTTTCTGAAATGCTTTAGTATCTTTTACTACTTTTAGATTATTGGCACAATATACCCAATAAAATCTTTGTCTTGAAATAATGATTGATCTACCTGTGTTTTTTAAATTTAAATTAATTACAATTAAATACAAGCAAAATTTCACTCCTAAATTGCACTAGCTACATTGGGAGAGTTCAGCAGATGTGAGCGGCTGTTGGCCGTGGGATGGGACAGCACAGAAACCCGCCCCTGGGCACAGCGAGTTCTGCTGGATGGCGCTGATCTGATCACTGATCCTTGTTGTAAATAACAGTGGCTATAGAGAGCATAGATTAAGTTTCTCTGTGCCCATTTTGCCATATTCTCTAAGTTTTTCTACTTTTAATAAAACCTTGGTATCCATTTATTTTCCTATTGTTTACTCTTACCCCTACAAGTCAAATAACAAAATACAATTCTGTTTCATCAAAAGCTGTGCATAGTTCATGGAAGCTTGCTGTCATTATTTACGATGGGAGATTTGTGTGGTGTCTTCTGATGAGATCGGGGTTATACCTCCTTCCAGCACAGGGCCAGGGGGGCCTCCATTTCACCCGTCCTTGTTCATGATTCTTACTGCTTTTTGGGTTTTGTTTGCTTTGCTTTTTTGCTGCCACTCTCAGGGGTAAAGAGGAGAAGTTTCCTATCAAACTGATCCCCTTCTTCTTCTCTGGCAGTCTCCTTTTTTCAAATCACCCTACTGACTGTACTACAACATACAGACTCAGTAACATATCTAGCTGAGCTTTCTTTCACTGAAAGGGAATTTGAGACTAAGTGATTAACAAATAGATTTTTCTTGATTTGTCCTGTGTGTAAAAGATTAATAATCCTCTCCTGTGATTCCGTAACCTGTTTCTAGGCTCAGTCACCCACATTTATTCATGATCCAAGCATTTTTTTATTTGAGCCCTAGATTTATGCCTGACAACTTTCTGTCCACACTTCTGCCAGCTGAGCCATTGCTGCCCTGTGATCTTCCTTGGAGAAATCGTGTTTTCTCTATATTAATAAAGCCATCCTTATCTAAGTGCATACCTTTTACCACATTCCTGATTCCTACAGTACCTCAGCTCATGTGGAATACACTTCATTCTGTCCCATCCACTCCCTTTTTAAAAGTTTACACTCCCTTTCCCAGGGTCACCACTTTTTTCCAGGTTAAGTCCCTGCAACCTTTAACCAGTCCCTTTGACTCCATCCACCTCTTTCCATGAGGCACAATCAGTATTAGCATGTTAAAAAGTATCCCCTTTTGCCCTGGTCCTCAGCAGTTCCTAATAAAACATCGACAGTATATGGGGTCCACATGTGTATTTTAATCTAGAAGTGCTCTTCTCTGGAGACCACAGCCGTTTGGGATTCCGCACCCCTCATGTCAGAGGATCTAGAACTGTGCTGTCCAGAATGGCGGTCACCAGGTCTGTGGGGTATTTCCACTTAAATAAATTAAGTAACACTAAAATTTTATTTCCGCAGTGGTGCTAGCCATGTATCGTGTGCTCAGTGGCCACATGTAGCTGGTGGCTTCCATGTCAGACAGTACAGTCTTCTTAAAACATGCCCATCGCTGAAGAAAGTTCTGTTGGATAGTGCTGCCGAAGAACTTTTCTATCCCAGTCTGTCCCTGGAGAATATGAAGGGAGATCGGCACGATTATCAAAATAATTCCTCTTGGTTCCTCACTCAGTCATTTTTGAGACCACTTCCAAATTTCTGAAAGCCTCACCTTTTACCAATTGTTACCCTCATCAAACTGACAGGTAACATAACAAGTGCCCTACTCCCATCCATAAAAGATTATGGATTGAGATTGGATTAGGAAAAGATGTTTATATGCTAAAGTGTAGCTAGACTCTTAAGTGTTCTAAACGCTTTAATGATAACTTCTTAGGGCCAGCTAGCAGTTGCTTTCTGTTTTGTTTAGTTTCCCTTACAGTATTAAGCAAATATTTACTGAGTACTTTCTGTATGTTCGATAAATATATGGCTTTAAGGATTATGTATTTAATCCTCCCAAAACCCTTTTAAAGTGGATGTTGTTATTAAATTTATTTTATAGGTGAGGAAACCAAAGCACAGGAAGGTCAGTGTACCTCCCCAGTGTACATAGCTAGTGCACAGCAAGACTGTCCCTCAAACTTATTTCATGTGATTCACCCTTGGGCTGGATTTACCCAAATTGTAACAAATGCCCATGAAGCAAACCTGGCTGGAAGGAAAAGGTTGAGGGACTGGATAATTATCATCCACCTCAGTCCAGGGAGTTATGTGACTGGTTACTTTCCAAAGGAAATATTTAAAAATTCAGCATTAAGTCAAGTACTCTTTTTATCATTTTATTTTATGTTGTATGAGGTTAAAAGCTTGAGTGTAAATGATTATAAGATATTAAAATTCATATTTACTTTGTTTACCACGAAGAACATTAAGTGGTCTGTAAAAGAGTTGTTGTTAAAATGTGGATTCTTCTTTCTTTCTAGTACTCCCCTAGCATGACAATGAGTGTGTGATCCATTACCAAGTCTCCTCATGAAAACCACAGTGAGTCAGCCCTTCACAGAACTACTAGGGAAGAAAATTATTCATCACAATGTACAGTTAAACAAAGGAATCTCAGTCACACCAAACCAACATTTTTATTTCCTGCTCTCTCCCCTATTTTGTGAAGAAAGCGGGTCCAAACGTGATTCAAACAACTGTACGGAGCGGCATATTAGAATTGCCCTAAAATGAACTGCAAATAATTATCTGTGTATGTATATGTGTGGGAAAGAGAATGTATTGTATATGTGTATGTTATATGGACATATACACATGCATACATTGACCCACAGGACATTGTAAAATATTATCACATGACATCTTAAGTAGAAATAAGTAGGGACTTTTATTCCATCCTTTTTTTCACGTTTACATTTTAATTATTAAAAGTTGCTCCTGCCCCTCCCTCAACTATTTTGTGCTGTGTATATCACTGCTTTATATAAGTTATTTTTTAAGGTGAACTCAGATGTTATGGTTTTGTAAATGTCTGCAATCATGGATAGGAATAAAATCGCTTATTTGAGAGCTTTCATTAAATTGCGTCTGATGCACGTTACCCTGTGAATCACAAAGTGTACTGTCTCAAAAAAAAGAAGAAGAAGAAGAAAACTGTGTCTTCATCTTTATGTCAAATCAATTTCTCAGTTACCTTCAGTGAAAATATTTTTGTATCCTTTGTTTAAAACAAAATACTTCAACAAAAGCCTAACTGGGACCAACAGTACATTTCTTCAGTAACTGCTTTAGATGGAATTCTTGATTTGTCTGTCTTAGGTGATACAGAACATTATTAATTAACACTAATTGCTTAGACCATAGCAATAAAGTGACAGGGCTTGTCATGTTTTTAGCAACATACTTTCTCTTTAACATGATAAAGACCAGAAATAATAAGAAAACCATTTGCTTGAGTTTGTCACTTCTCACCAGGAAAACTAAAGGTAAATTTTTAATAACGTACTAATGTGAAATGGTATCTGATTTTTATTCTGACTTCTTGTGAACATTTTCACATAGACATTGCAAAGAAGATGCATTCAAATAACTGAGGTTTTCAACACAAGGAGGAAGGGTTTTTATCACAGCCAAGGGGCTCTGGAGCGCTGCCTCTCTAGCCAGGGATCTTGCTCACCAGCAGCAGAACTGGCTGGTAACCGTCCCTTCTGTATACACCTTTCCACGGGCAGCAGAGCACCTGCTCTCGCCCTGGGATGTAGAGCTTTTGTTCAGAGGGAAATCATTCAGCGTAATTGCACTTCATTTGGCCATTGACTTCAGCAGGCTAAATCTACATTGTGTAACTGTTCAGAAATAAAATGAGTAAATATTAGAAAATAAATTTTTAAACCACTTTTCTTATGAAAGCCCCTTGCTCTGTGGCACCTTCCAGATCTTTTGGAGCTTTTCTGTGTAATCATACGTACAGACAGCAAAAATCATGATACAGCAGTGTGACAACTTTCATGTAGACTCTAAAAGATAAGTTGGTGATCATTTCTTGTTAAGATTGTGATGCAAACAGCCATTGATAAACAACAATTATATTTCCAAACTCCAAGCACTAAAAAGCATTGTTTAATATCAGATGAGAGGATTCCTTTCTTCAGGCTTATGGTCTCTAACATGAAAATTTGGCAGTGTATTTGCTAGTTCCTGATCCCAGATGACTTATATCTCTCAAATTTGTAATAGTTTACTCTTTACGAAAATAAACGTTTTGCCTGTGCGTGACAGGGATGCTGGGCAGAACTGCTGAAGGGAAAAAGACAGGCTGAATTAAATTGATGTTCCAGATTTAAATTCTAATGAAATGAGTCACCATTAATCAGAGAGTGTGCAGGAATCTAGGGCTGGGCACTGGAGAACAGCTTCAAGCTTTCAAGAACTTTCATGAAGAATTCGAACTAAAGGGTCTTTAACTCGAGCGAAGGTAACCTGAAGGTGACACTTTGTGCTGACACATGAATCTACCAAGAATAACTTTAACTTTCACCGTTTGTGATGACTGTGTGACACCGACAGTCCTATGATTAAGCTTAATCTAGAATTTTCAGATGTTTGGTTGAGTCTTTGTTGTTACTGATCTTGAATTTCTTTTTTTTGCCTTCTACGAAGGTATTATTTCTTATTATCATAAAGAATCATGGACCTTATTTTACTTGACCTTTATTTTAGGGGTAATATTGGATATGAATATCAATATGGGTCAGATTCTTTCTATCCTATTTGATCAAAAAAAGTAAAATTTGATTTTTTTCCACATAATCAATTTATCATAATATTTATTCATTTTTTTCTCTTGGAACCCAGGTGAAAAATAGCTAGTTCAAATTTTTTAAATTCTTGAAATAGTTGAAAATTTATTTTTAAAAAGAAAATTATATTCAAGAAAGTCAGAAAAGAAGGAGAATTAATTTTAATATAAAATAAATTCCTTGTGTACCAAATGGAGGATACGATATCTGTATATTAATTTTTGTTTAGGTTTGAATCATTTGAACCCTCTCCTTTTCTCTTATAATAAGACTACTTAATCCTTTCTCTCATGTTTTTCATCTCCATCCATTCATTTGTTTGGTCTTGATATAAAATAACTGTTCCTGAGTTATTTTACATACTTCACCTCACAGTAATAATATAAGTAATTCTTGCCTACCTTGAATATATAAAATACTCATATGAAATGTGAAAGTAAGCAATAGGTAAAAACATTACTTCTCATTACTCAGCTTTGCATTCCGCCTAACTGACACCATTGAAGATACATGTTAAATCCTTTCTAAGGTATGTATATTCATAACCAGCTGTCTTTCTTATAGCCACGTTGCCACGGGAACAGAGGCTGTGGAGGGCCATTGATCTGGTGACACACACACACGTTCGATGGGTGAACCTTTGTGCTCCTTTTCAAGTGTCCAGTTTGGACTCAGTTGCTAATGAGTAGGAGTTACTCAGCTAGGAGTATGAGGTTAAGATTTCTGTACTGCCCAAGATGACCACATTAATGTTGCTCCCTGAGCCATGGAAAGTTCCCAAAACACTCCTTTTCATTCTTGGAATAAAATAGAGACAACTTCTAATTCTGTTTGTGTGAATCTCCAACATATCTGAACTCTTGTCACATTTCATAGGACCATTCAGTTACCACTTTTCCTATAGATTAAAAGATAGCCGATGAAATAAGTGAGTTCCGTTTGGGACATGAGGAAGCCCTACATCTGTCCACACCGTTTCTTCACATTGTCATCCTGAAACCATTCAGTAAAGCATCCGGAACTGCTCCCTTGGCAGAAGGTTTGTCCAGGCCCTTCATACCCTGACATCTTGTTTCTCCCTTGGCTTTCTCCATGCGCCCCCGCCCAGCCCCTGCACTCTCCAGGAGAAACAAGATACAGACTGAACCTTTTTTTACCTCCTTAGCCCTTACAATTTTCTTATTCATGTAGTATATAGTTTTCCCAGGGGAAATCACTGCAATTTACATTTCTTGATTATTACTGTTAATTAGAAACAGTGTCACAAATCATAGCTACTTCATTTTAGAAAGCATGATAGTATTTTGGCACTGGGTTTTCCTTCATTTTTATGTGTTAATATACTATAATTCTCTTTCCATAAAAAACACTAACTGATACAAGTAGTGCAACAGTGTGTAGTGGGAGAAGTTCAATATGGAGGGGAAAAAGTTGCCAGAAGTATTTTCCAAAAAGTGGATTAGTCCTTTTTCTTAACCCCCCATAAGTGAAGTAAGTTTCTTATCCGCTATGAGGAGCAGGAGTCCATGTTTGCTTGTAGTACCCAGTTGTAAGGGGCTCCCTGGGCCTGTGAACCAAACCTGGAGAAATTCTGGAAAAGTAAAAGGAAGAATGGTGAACCACTATGAATACACTTCCATTTTACATAGTAGACGTGTGAGTGCGTGCACATGTGTGTTGAGGTGGTACTGTGAAGTTTGCTCACAAAACACTCCCACTATGATTTACATTATGTTATAGCACAACTGGTTGCTATTAAACATAATTCTTTCGTTTGATTTCTTTCTATTTCATTGGTAAAGAAGGTGATGAGAGGGATTTGGGATGAAAAGAGTAGTACAAGACATAAGCAGATGGAGCTCCTATGCCCAGCATTAACACACCCCTTAGCTTATCCACATTAGGCCTCCTTATGAGTGTGCTGCGTCTGAAGGTAATCATTTAATCATTGGTCACTTCACTGCCAGGAATCGTGCACTAATTACATATAGTTCTTTTTTAATTTTTATTTATTGATTTGAGAGAGAGAGAGATCGATCAATTTGTTGTTCCACGTATTTATGCATTCATTGGTTGATTCTCATATGTGCCCTGACCAGGGATTGAACCCACAACTTTGGCACATGGGGACAATACTCTAAACAACTGAGCTACCCAATCAGGGCCTACATATAGTTTTTTTGATGCTACATTTGTTTATAATAAATAGAATTGACATTATCAATTCATTTCACCACTACCTGTGGAATTGTAATTCAAATTGAAAGAGATGGCCTACAGATGAAAAACACCTGAGACCTCTCTAATTACTCTTCTAAACTATATTCTAAAAAAAATTTCTCAGTTGAATAAGTCTCCTAAACAGAATTTCCTCTGTTAAGTTTTCCCTATTAAGTTAGTATAATTGGTCTTCCCAAATAAAAGAAACAATTTCTATAAGTAGCTTAATGTGAATATTTTTGCTGTCTATATCCTTACAAACTAAATACAGCACCCTATATAGACATCATAAACTTTAAAGTGGGACTAAGTGTTTTCACGTATGGAATTACAGCTTGTGTCTTCCCTCTTTGTGGATTTCCTGTCTCCAAGATAAGTTGGACTCATTCTGATTATCCCAGCCATTGCAATGTTATTATCTGTTCCTGGGAATATTTAGCATTTCATTTTTTAAGGAAACTGTGCGGTTAACATGACAAAGGTGAGTGTTAATATTCCTAGAAAAGTTATATAAAAGGTATATTCCCAGTTCACATTAAAACTTTACCCCACTTTCTTATTTTCCCGAAATGACCTCAGTGCATTGCCAAGAAAGTGAAATACAGATTCCTCAGTGTTCTCAGAGCACAGTATAACACATTGTCAGCTCAGTTTCCATTATGTCATGATAAAATTGCTCAGTTAAATACAATGAACCATCTACTTATTACGAAACAATTCCAATAATCTGTCTGGTTTACATACTTTAAATTTAGCAACACTAGAAATTTCCTTGGTGTGAAGTACTGATTAAAATGTGCATATGCCTGGCTTTCTATTGGATCATACTTCAAGATGTTTTACCTTCCTTACATTAAAACCATTGAAAACTTAACAGAGACTACATTAGAATGGAAAAAGGACATACTATTGTGTCAAACATGAAAAATGGAAAAGTCTTTATTGTGAATTCTTCATTCATAATAGCCATCAGTTTATTGAACTGTTTAATTTATCCCATTGTGATTATATGAATTTAAGATGTTTTCTCACTATATGTGTTAAATTGTTACCTATAAATGTCTTCCTGGAAAAATAAGATTATTTGTAAGGTTTTTATAAATGTACAATGAGTGTGTAAATATAATTGGAATCTGGGATGACTCTCAGTAATCTTAATTCACCCACGGCACCAGTCACCTGACGCACTCTGTGAAGTTCTCGTCCAGGTGCGCGCACGAGCCTGTGCTGCAGGCCCGCTGCTACA